TACACTTTGTCCGTCTGTCAAGAAGCTTTTGTATTACCTTATAAAAATATTTTAGGCTGAACTGCAAACCACGAATAAACCACTGCCTTCACTTCTTCATTAGAAGTGAATCTTTGTCCTTGAAGAGCTGCTTTCAGGGAACCAAACAGGAAGAAGTCCGATGGAGCAAGATCAGAACTATAAGGAGGATGCTTTAACACCTCAAAACAAAGTCTTTTGCAGAGTGTCAACATTGTGGACAGAGATGTGCAGAGGTGCATTGTCGTGCAAGATCATGATGCCTTTGGATAGCAGTCCTCTGGGCTTAATCTGAAGTTTAGGCTTCTGCTCTTCAGTGAGCATTTAACTGTAATGAGCACTGTTGATTGTTGAACCTTTTTCCTGATAATGGCCCAATACCGGTCCTTGAGAATCCCAGAAAATTACAAGCATCAATTTTCCAGCTGATGGTTGACTTTTAAACTTTTTCTTTGTTGGCAATTGAAAATGTTTACATTCTACACTCTGTCATTTACTCTCAGACACATAGTGATGAATCTTTGTCTCGTCACCAGTAATGATTTTTTTAAAAGAAACTTTTACCTTCTTTTGAGTGTTGGTCTAAATTTTGTGTGCAGATGTCCATGTTCATAACTGCACAGCAATGACCTTGAATGGGAAGTGCTGATAAGACAGTGCAGCCAACAGAAGTTTTAATATAACTGCAGTGCGGATAATTTTTTTGTATGTGTGTGTGTGTGTATATATATATATATAATTGTTGTTGTTAAGTGTTGTCAAGTCGGTTCCAAACCATAGTGACCCTGCATAGGATTTCTGAGGAGCAGCTGGTGTGCTTGAATTCCCAACCTTGCAGTTCAAACTGCGCCACACCAGGATGCTATAAAATCACCACGGCCTTTAGCCATGCACAAACAGTAATTTTGTGTGTTGGCTGCTCCACTGTTCTCTGTCAGCTTACAGGAGGAAAAGCAAGGCTTACAGAAGGATGCTCCATCAGACGGAAGCTGCACTAAAAGCACCCTGAATCAAGATGAGTGGGAAATGATCCCAACAAACATTTTAGATTTTTTTTAAGTGTGGAAATTATTAAACAATATCATTAATATCACATACAAATAAATTTTTTCTGAAGGTAATTAAAAAATGGTTGCAGCAGTATATTACAGGATTCTACCCAAAATTCAAGCCATACTGAGAAGAGGAAGTGGAAGGAAGGATATCATTGCTAATGTCAGATGGAACTTGGCTGAAAGCAAAGAACACAAGAAAGCTGTTTACTTGTGCTTCATTGACTGACTACACAAAGGCATTCTACTGTGTGAATTATAACAAACTGTGGTTAAAACTTGCAAGAATGGAGATCCCAGAACACTTAATTGTGCTCATGAGGAAACTACATAGACGAGGAGTCAGTTGTTAGAACAGAAGAAGGGGATAATCGAATAGTTTAAAATCAGGAAAGGTGTTGATCAGGTTGCATCTTTTCACCATATTTATTCAATTTATATACTGAGTAAATCATTTGAGAAGCTAGATTAATATACAAAAGAATGTAGTGTCTATATTGAAGGAAGCATCATTAACAACCTGAGATACATAGATCATAACAACCTTGCTTGCTGAAAGTGAAGAAGACTTGAAATACGGATGAAGATCAAAGACTACCACCATCAGTATTGATTGCACCTCAATGTAAAGAAAGAAAAAAATCCTCACACTGGACCAATAAATAACATCAATAAAAAACATCATGATAAACAGAGAAAATATTGAAATTGTCAAAGTCTTCATTTTTCTTGGATCTACAATCAACACTCACAGAAGCAGCGATCAAGAAATCCACTGACATATTGCATTAGGCAAATCTGCTGCTAAAAACCTCTCTAAAACGTTAAAGAGCAAATATGATACTTTGAGGTCTAAGGTGCTCCTGCCCCAAGTTATGGTATTCTGAGTCATCTCATATGCATGTGCACGTTGGACAATGAATAAGGAAGACCATAGAAGAATCAATGCATTTGAATTACGGTGTTGGCAAAGAATACTGGAAGTACCATGGAAGGCCAGAACAAACAAATCTATCTTGAAAAAAGTACAAGAATACTTTTTAGAAATGAGGATGGTTAGATTTCTCTGTCATACTTTGGACATGTTAGCAGGGACCTTTCCCTGGAGAAAGTCTTGGGAAAAGGGGAGTGCTGGTGAAAAGTAGGAAGAACCCCAAGATGAAAAGGGTTGACATGATGGCAGCAACGATGGCCTCAAACATTACAAAAGTGGCGCTGCAACAGGCAATGCTTCGTTCTGCTGTACAGACTCATAACCGACTCGATGGCATCTAACAACAATAACAACAACATAATATTCCTAAGAGGCTAAGAGCCCTGGTGTGGCACTGTACCCTGTACTGCTCACCAAAAGGTCATCGGTTCAAATCCATCAACCGCTCTCAGAAACCCTATACAGGTTTGCTATGAGTTGGAACCAAATCTATGGCACACAGCAAGAAGAGGCACTGACAATATGTGTTCAACTACTGACTTAAAGGCTGGTGGTTCAGATCTACCAAACATTACCACAGAAGAAAAATCTGGAGATTTTCTTTATAAGGGTTACAGTGAAGAAAACTCTTTGGAGCAGTGCTACCCCGTAACAGATTGAGGTCTTTATGTGTTGGAATTTACTCAAGGATAACAAGGGGTTTGTTTGTTGTTTTAATAGAATTATTGTTGGTAAATGTCACAGAATTGGTTCTGACTCATAACGACCCTTTATAGGGTTTCTGAGGAGCAGCTTGTGGGTTTGAACATCCAATCTTGCAGTCCAGTGTTTATTCTACAGCGCCACACGAGGACTCCTTTTTATAGAGTGTATAGATAAAAATAAACTCTTTCTCAGTTACTTATTCCTGGTTTTGATTTTTCCAGATGAGTTTAAAGATAACAGCTATGAAAACTACCTTATAAGGATTCCTTGCCTAATGTGTTTCTATTTCTGTTGTGTTTTAATTACTAAGACTATAGCAGGGATTAGAATTGACATACTGATTGACTATGAACCTTAAAGATTATAAACTCAAGATTATTAGTTTTGATTTATGATATCATCTTGGAAAGGGGGAAATATTTACCTAATACAAATCTGAATTTTCAAAAATGTATATTTTAATATATCTTTTCCCCCTGTTTTCAGCCTAAATTTGAGGGGCAAAAATATTTCTTCTTTGGGGTACTCTGTGGACTATCCTTATTCAATTCCAATGTTGCCAATATCCCTTTTCCTCTGGCGCTATTTAAAAAACTTTTGGACCAACCACCATCATTGGAAGACTTCAAAGAACTCAGTCCTGTTTGGGGAAAGTAAGTAAATGTGGGTATTTTTAAAGAACGCTATCTTACATGTATTTCAATAAATATTTAACTAACAACAACATATTCCAATAATATTTTCATGTTTAGCAGTAGTATTCTAGAAAATTTGAATCAATTTTAACTTTGGCAAGAGTTGTTGGATAATAATTTCATCTTCTACAATTAAGAAAAGTTCTTATGACTCGTATGCAATCCCTGAATTAATCTTTAAACTTTATTTGTGTAGAACAGTCCCAATGAACAGAGCATAGGTTATAGCTTAGTGAGAAATCTGTAAGTGACATTTATGTGCTTATTTTAAATAAGTAATGTTTATTTTAAATTTTGTCTTGTGTCATCATCTTTGCCTATTACATAGCAAGAATAATTCAAAGCTATGTTAGTTAAAAAAAACAGTATCAAATTGGTACAGTTTTTTTTTCAGTGTTTCTGTTGTTGTTAAGTACCTTGGAGTCAGTTCTGAATCATAGTGACCCTGCAAAGGGTTTCCAAGGCTGTAAATCTTTATGGGAGCAGAACACCTCATCTTTCTCCTGTGGAACAGCTGGTAGTTTTGAACTGCTGACCTTGAGGTTAGCAGCCCAACTCGTAACCAAATATAGAAATTCAGAAACTGATTTGTACTCACATGGGATTTTGTAAGAAGTGACATAGAAGATCAGTAGAGATCACAGGTACTGTTCAGTAATGGAGCTAGAAAATTTTAGTATCCATTGGGGAAAAAAAATGAAAGCAAAAACAATGAACTCAAACATACCAATAATAATGAAATGACACAAGACCAGACAACATTTTGTTCTGTAACACCTAAGATCACTATAAATCAGAACCATCTCTAAAGCAAATAACACCTACAGAAAAGTGGGATAGAGGAGGTACTCTCTATAGGTAAGCAATCAATATTAGCAGTGTTTTAGTTGTATTGTAGGAGTTCCGCAGTGTTCATTATAAACATATATTGGAGTCCTGGTGTGGCTCTGTGGGTTAAAGCACTAAACCACAAGGTCAGTGGTTCAAACTCACCAGCTGCTCCTTGGAAACCCTATACGGGGTCCTATGAGTTCAAACTGACTAAACAGCACCTAACAAGCCACCAACAATATATAAATAGGTAAATAAACTGTAAATGGATGAATGATTTCAGAGTGTCATGGAGAAAAGATTATGATTAGTCCTGTAATATCAGCTGAGTTCCCATTACTTTCCTCAAAAAATCACAAAAAGTAAACAATGATTTATTTTGTCATAATCCATTCATTAAAAAATATAGTGGGTGGAGGGGAAGCACTTATCCCAGAGGCCTTTTCCAATGGCATGTATTCTTTTGGAAAAAGTTACCAAGCTCCTCTAAGTTGTACTTGTACCATTTATATACTTCTATGGCTGCACATATTTCACTGTACTATAGGGGACACAGTCATCATCCTATCTCATAGATTAGTCTGAGGACTTATTAACCCTATTTTCTTAGTTTCAACTTTATAGCCTTTATACCTGCCCCCTTAGTGCTTAATAAATGTTTGTTGTTTTTGTTGTTGTTGAGTGCCGTTGAGTCAGTTCCAACCCATAGGAAGCCCATAAAGGGTTTCTGAGGCTGTAAATCTTTACAGGAGCAGAAAGCCTTAACTTTCTCCCGTGGAACCGCTGGTAGTATCGAACTGCTGACTTTGAGGTTAGCAGCCCAACTCATAACCATTATGCTACCAGAGTTTATTGAGTATATAAATGAGCCAACAACGCAATATAAGGCATCTTATGTTAAATATCACATACACACACTTTTCTGTCAGTTTGTCGCAGTGTGGTGGCTTGCATGTTGCTCTGATGCTGGAACTATACCACCAGCATTTTAAATGCAAGCAACATCACCCATGGTGGAGAGTATTCAGCTGAGCTTCCAGACTAAGAGACTAGAAAGGAGAAACTGACTACCTCCAAATATTTAGTCACTAAAATACTTATGAATAACAGTG